TTGAAAGTTATTTTCAAATAATTTCTCTTGTGCACAACATCTATAATGATTATACGTATTTGTAAAATTCCATAGACAAGTGCCATCAAATAAGTTCAATGTGTAAAACCATTTCATTTATAGAATATTGTATTATTATTGGGTCAGACTTAAATTTTGAAAGTTTGTTGATCTGTATAAAATCTTGAATACAAAATAGCAAGTCTTTATAGATAGAATTAAAGAATTACTTCAATTTACTGACAAGATATAATTATAAGCACTGTAGATTGTTTCCCCATGTGTTACTGCTGTAATAATGACATCAGGTAACTTTAGAGAAATCCTTGAACAAGTTTTTCTGCAGAATTTATGAGTAGCTAATTCCTATGAGATTATTGTACTGAAGAGTTACAGGAATACTGCATTAGTTTGATTACAGAGATGTATCAGAATGTTTACCATGTCGGCCGTTCTTCCATGTAGATTGGTGTGGTTTATGTGGGAGGGTTATGTCTGTTTGTCCTTTTCATTATCATATTTTTGTTACTTTATGTAAAATATTTAAAGACGCATACCTACTAAGTATTTTCATGTTAAAATGATATGTATGTAACAGGTTTAAGTGTTAAAGTAGACTACAGTGGTTATTGGAAAGGAATTACGATTGTGCATGTTGTGACGAGGGATCAGGGGAGGGGTGGCAGGAAAAGGATCTGGGGAGGGGTAACTGTCATAATGTGGAATCTGGAGGAGGAATGATAGAAGTTACAGGATCCAAGGGATGGTATAATAAATTGATTAGCTGAGGGATGGTGGTGAGGTTTGATTGTGTAGCCAAGGGATCTAGTGAAGGACTGATTTGTTAAGCAAAAGGATCCAGGGGAGGGCTGATTGAATAGCTAAGGGATCCAGGGGAGGGCTGATTATATAGCTAAGAGATCAAGGAGAGGGCTGATTATGTGGCTACGAGATCAATGGGAGGTCTGATTATGAGGCAAAGGGATTGAAGGGAGGTTTGATTGTGTTGCTAAGGGATCCAAGGGGAGGGCTGATTATGTGGCTAAGGGATCCAAGGGTAGGGCTGATTATGTGGCTAAGGGATCCAAGGGGCGGGCTGATTATGTGGCTAGGAGATCCAAGGGTAGGGCTGATTATGTGGCTAAGGGATCCAAGGGTAGGGCTGATTGTAGTCAAGGAACTGAGGGTTGATTGTGGAGCTAAGGGCTCTTGTAGAGGAGATTATTTTGAAGCCCAAGAGATAGAAGAGGAATGGTTGTTCACATAGGCAATCAGGGTAGGAGATGATGATGGAGTTCTCCGATAGGGCTGTCATAGCCTCGTAATGAAAGATCTGACCTTTTGCTATTGTTATAATGTAAGGATGGCATCGTTACCCATTAATGTATTGGTCTGCATAGACAGCTGGTGGTCAGAAGAGGAAGTGTTTGCTTTGGATATATATTTGGTCAGTTCAGAAAGCTGTCAGAACGGTCATTCAGTGATGAAAAGTTGATGGTATAGAAAGGTGTTTTGCACATTGACAGCTTACATTAAAAATACAACGATAATATGTACGTCATATACTCATATACTTGACTTGATATACATAAATCTATATATAACTGAATAAGTCAGGGAATGGATACAAGGTTAACCTGTCTGGATCCTAAACGAATAAATAACAGGGAATGGACACCAAATAAATAAGCCCTGTTACGTTGTATGGCCAAGTTGATGGCGTCAAAGTCTGAACCACTGGACTCGCTTGTGATGGTAATGATAAAAGGTATATCTACCATAGCTATGAAATAAGGTATATATCTACCATAGCTAAATACTTATACCACATCACATGTATACATTGTTACATGTTTTTGTTTGTATTAGGTGATGATGCAATATGTTATGCAATATATTCAAGTTCACATGAACGACTTCCAGCCAATTTTGCCAGATGGGTCAAAGACATTGTAAAGAGCTGAAGAAGTCTGAACTTTTACAGAAGTTGTGAGGAAATTTTATGACTAAAGAAGCCCAGAACTGTTTTTAAAGGAAGGTGTTTTTCAAACTCTCTGATACATTTGGCATTAATGTTATTACTGTGGACGAGTAATGCTTGTTTCTAGAAAAAACACTTAGCTGTGATTTACCAAAAATATTTGAAAAATAAGCTTAGAGTGTGGAAATAAACAGCAGGAGGGTATCTCAATATTGTTGACAGCGAATACCACAAATTTTATTGCATATTGAAGTGACTATGTATTATTGATTCCACTATTTTATCATTCATCATATGATTTTACTCTAGAATTAATC